TGGCCATCTACACGCCACCTTCAGCTGACGAGTTTCCCGGACATCGATCACAGGATCCGCCTTCTATGGACAGACATCAGGAAGTTGACCGAGTCATCACGCACCGCAAGTATGGCAACAAGCCAATGCAGTTCAAGGTCACATTCAAGCAATGTGCGCCTGATGACACTCGGTGGATCTCCAGTACAGATTTGCAGACTTCTGCGCCCCTTATCTTCGCCGACTATGAGAAGCGACGCCTTGCTAAGGAAGCAGCTCGTCCCGCCCGGCCCACCCCGGTACCGGACAGACAACTTCGCCCTCGCAGGTAGCTCGGTCTTTTAAGAGGGGGAGTGTGTTACATCTTCGACGCCACACGGGTTCTACCCGACCCGACTTAGGGCTAGAGGGACATACTAGGGCCTAAAGGCCCGACCTTGGAGGTACTACAGGGCGTAAAGGCCTTACCTTGGACCAGACCCGACGGGCAGGCCCAAACGACATTACCGTTTGGGCCTGGCGGCGCTCTTGAGGCTGCCGCCCGCCGGTTGGGGCTGAACCGTCCATCTTGACGGTTCAGGGCACGGCCAGGCCTCGCAGCATTGAGGCCGGCCTCTGCCCCACCGGTACAAAAGTACCGGTCCAGCCTCATTGAGGCTATCGACCTACCGGCATTCTACCGGTACGGTATGGTACAGCGCCAAACAGCGTTGGCGCTAAGTTTAGCGCAGGAGCAAGGCAGCGCAACATTAGCGCAGCAGCAGCGGCGACTAAGTGTACCGGCGGCCATAGCCGCCTGAGGTATCGGGAGTTGGAGGCCTCTCTCCTCCCTCCCCTCGCCAGTCCCCTCTCTCTCTCTCTCTCTCCTCCTCGGCTCCCTTCTTCTTCTTCTCTTCAGATTTCATCTTCTTCTTCTTCTTCTTCTTCTTCAGATTGGAGACTTATACTAGTTGGACAGAGATCAGTGTTGGACTTCGGTGGTAGGAGACTGTGGTACTTACCGGATTGGAGACTTGGAGATTGTTGGGGTTGATACTTGGCAGCATCACAGTTCGGACACCGGTTACATTTGGACTCGGTATCTCCGACATTGGTGACTGATTGTCCTCGACATTTTGATCTTGTTGGATGACATTTTGGACTACCATATCGGTGACCTATCGGATTCTATCTCGGTSACCTACCRGTGCTGTCTACCTCCCCCACCTCCTTCGTCTCTCCTCCCACCTCTCATCTGTGTATGTGTGTACGGGATCTGGGCATCGTCCATGCTTGGCCCAGACCCCACCATCTCACGATTGTATGTGTGTGGAGTGATTCTATGAGAGTCAGTCTATGTGAGTCAGTCCGTTTATCAGACTTCCGCTGCATATATGCTCATCCTACATTGGTTGATCTTTGGTTCTGCCCATACTCATCGAAGTATGTAACAGAGAGAGAGAGAGAGAAAAGAATGTTCGGGGTAGCAATCTAATCTCTCTACTGGCTCTGAATTCCATAGAAACTGAATCCTGAAGACAGTCGGTATGTTTTGCAGCTTGGTAGCCCACGACCATACACTAGGACTTTCTACAATGTATCGAACCACAATTACAGTCACTCCTCTACGTATCTAGATGCAATCATGTTCAAAGACCAGTCCAAAAAGCCCTACTGAAGAGTGAGTGGGCGCTTGGCGGATACATTCTATGAAATAGCATCAGAAGTTCCCTGCTGCATTTCATCCGCCAACTTCCGACAAAGCTACAAAGCACCAGAACTCCCCCTCATCACACCCCACTATCTGCCAGCTTTGCTTTTCTGGGTCCTTTAGTGCAAGTTTCATCAAAGTGTGGCCCCTAACCTGATTGTTACCATTTTGAATCCATCAGGACATGAACCGATGACCTTTTTCATTAACAGCTACATGTGTACACCATTCAGCCACATCAGCTGAGTTGATGGCAGATTTTCGGTTTAGGGTTTGCCACACATTTTTGGTCCTTTTCTTTCTTTTCTCTTTTCTGCCCTCTCAGTTTTGGCCCTTCTCCAAGTCCGGTACACACCTTGAAAATTAGAATAAATTTCAATAAAATAAAAAACGGAACCCCCCTTCTCGGTTGTACGACTACCATCTTCCCCCGAACATAATGCACCCTCATCATGCCTGTATTTGACAGGAAAAGTTGGCAGTACGCATCAACGATCAGAAGGTGTGTTGTGTTCGGGGGGAGACAGTACAACCTAATGCTGCGCCTGCCTGACATTTCAGATATGTCTCTGCGAGGATCCTACACAGACATAGGGCCTCGCTATCCTGCACGACACTTGGGATGTATCTGGAGCTGGCAGTGGTACCGATACATTGCAATGTAGGATCAGTCTGAAGACTCTGAACATATCTGATTCCATATTGCAGTCCAGATACGTGCAGAATGCTGCGTAGGGGAGCGAGGCCCATATTTTGATCTCCTGCAGATTGGTTTAGGTTTGTGAGCTCTTCTTTTTTTCTTAATATATACTCCAAATATTATTTCATCAATTTCATCGGTTTTCCTCAGGATTCGAACTCGTAGGATGACTGGTGACAGTTACATTTGTGCACCATTCAGCGACATGGGGCCTCGTTCCACTGCACAAAATTCCTAATGAATCTGGATAGGTTATTGATCTCTATGCGTTTGAAATGCTCGATCAATCTGAACATATCTGTAGCACTTTTTTGCAGTTCAGGTAGGTAGAGAACATTGTGCCACAGAGTGAGGCCCATGACCTGACCTGGGTAAGGTTTTTGGCATTTTGCCACTTTTTGGGCCCACCCTTCCTCCCCCCCCCTTTTTTTTCACTTTTGGGGCCCTTCTGTACTCTGGCTTTTTTGCATTTATAGCCTCTATCGTCTTCCTTTCCTCATACAACAACTACGTTTCCCGGATATTTCTTCCCGAAGCGGCGGTCAAGATAGGGTCTCAGCCTACACGACAAAAACGGCTAGTGTCGCCATACAAATTTGTGTGCCGCACCACTTCAGCTGGAATTGGCACGTAGCAAAAATCCACGTCTGGAAAAGGAGGCTTGGACGTACTGCTTAATGGACTATTTATTATGCTCTGAGGAAAGGGGGGGGGGGGGGGGGGGGGGGGGGGGCAGGGTGTAATCAGACTCGCTTTCATTCACACACTCATGCGTGCGAACAGGTGCGCAGCAAACTGGCGACAAAAGCCCACTCAGAACTCAGAGATATGGTAACCGAGTTCAGATTCAAGTTCACTTTGATGGCTATGGCGACTCAGCGCCTACACAACTCTCTGTTCGCATACACAGGATCACCCGGGATATCCCACACGCAATACTCTGAACACACACACACACACACTGAACTCTTACTACAGCTATGGCGGCTATGGCCACTACTACCCTATCGCTATGGCTACACCCCTTCTCTCTCGCCCACTTCGTCCTCGGGCTCACTGCAGACCACCTCGCACAAGTCGTTTGTGGCAGCACTTTCGCATGGCTCACGCAAGAATGAATGAATGACTCGGCGGTGCCTCTTGATTTATACTTCTGCAGCTCGTTGGTCTGGCCCTTTCCCATGCCCGTAGTGCACACAGTCCCATGCGGTACTTGCTTGACTGGACCAAGACTGACTGGGGACTGGGACTGTTGACTCAGCACGGGTAGACTCCACCACTTGCCCACTTGCCTCACCACTTGCCCACTTGCCTCAGCCTAAACGTGGGTAACTTCGAAAGGCCACTACTGGGACCTTCCGGAAGGCCATGGACTTGGCCTTTCGTTACTGTAGCAGCTACGACCTTGACCTTTCTGGACTGTAGCAGCTACGACCTTGACCCTTCGGGAAATCTACAGCTACGACTTCTAGACCTGACTAAGACTCCTACTCGACAGGTCTACAGATCGAACCCCTGCTACCTCTGGACCCTATGCCAGTCTACCACTGTTACCAATACACAGGTCACGGGTTCAACTCTAGGGGTCGACACAGATACTGTACACAGGTAAGGTGGGGATTAGGGATCGAGCCCTGGGATCTGCATCAGCTACTGCGAGCTGGTGAATACCGTTTCAAGGGAAGGAAATCCCGTATACCTGGTTTGAATATAACGGAAAACCACAAGGCTCGTATCCGTTGGCAATAGGAAGAGCAAAGCAAAAAAAAAAAAAAAAAAAAAAAAAAAAAAAAGGGCAAGAGCAAAGAATCAAAGACGAGAGAACGAATTACAAATACAAGAGACACGATGACAAAAAAAAAAAAAAAAACGGACATATCGATTAAACGCAAACCCTGAAGGAAAGAACAGAATTTAACCAAACATAAACAAACACGAAAAAGAGTAAAGCAACATGTATGAGCCAATAGCATGGCATCCTACTTTGCCTCAGCTTGTGGGGCTCGCCACACTACTTTCAAGTTTCCACCCACCATGTTTTTGTTTTCTTCACATTTGTCAGGTGGTGCGGCAAGAACCGTCGCTCCTTGCATCCTCTCCTCTCCACTTTGCGCAAAATTGAGACATCGCCGCATAATCTTGTACATATTTCGATATTAATCATATTTATTATTTATTATTTAGTATTTAATATTTATCCATTTTTTTAATTGAAAGAATTGCCGCATAATCTTACTGAATTGGATTCTGCAACCCCCTGCTTTAAAGTTAAGAGATTCCATGAGATCTTTCCTCATTTGTCTTTTTTTTTTTTTTTTTTTTTTTTTTTTTTTTTTTTTTTTTTTTTTTTTTTTTTTTTTTTTTTTTTTTGTTTGTTTGTTCGCAATTCTTTTTCTTTTTCTTTGTTTGGAAAGTAACCAAGCGCAGAATACTACATGACAGAAATTGGAAATTGGATGACGTCAATTTCAACCGCAAGTCGTGGCTGTAGAATCACCCTTTTTTTTTTCCTTTGTTTTTCTTTCCCGGAACACGCCCCTG